CGGGTTATTATGCTCGCGAATAGGGTATTGTGTTATTGTAAGCTCATAATTAGGTTACTTTCTTGACGTTGCGTGCATGTAGGTTATTGTGTTTTTATAAACTTGCAGTTGCGTGACTGGGCATATCTGTAGCCTAAATGATATGGTATAGTTATTGTCACGTATATTAATACAACTAAGCGTTATTTTGACCCCCTTGGGCTTCTGAACAAAGTCTGACCATCTTTCTTAATGAACACAGATTTATGGATGATGATGTTAGTGCCCAAACAAATAACTCAAAGTATTAAAGGCACTTGAACGCTATAATACTATACTAATGATTTCAAAATATCCTGTAACAGAAATTGTTACGAATGTTCTCTCTACAACTACCACGAGCGTTTTTATCTCTCCTGTTCTAATATATCAACCAATACTGTTATATTAAATCTTTTGCTGCAACTATCATTCCAAACCATTGCTGACAATTCCATGAATATTGATGCTGCCGATGTCGATTTCACTACGTCTGCTGATAGTAAAAATACTGCTACCACTCTATTCGGGCTCATTAATGTAAATCAGTATTGCTGTTATTATTCTGCAACACCTACACTGCAACTGCAACTTCTGCTGCAATTGATTTAATTGTTGCTTCGGATGCACGAATTCTACTGCTACTCTCACTACTACTTATACACCTAAATTAAATATACTGCTGTGAATTGAATATGCTACATTAAACAAAATACACTGCAATAGTGTAATATAATAGATATACTGTAATAAAGTAAATAAACTGCAATAAACTAAATAAACAACCATACACTAAATATCCTGCAATGATTTAGATATTCTGCAATATATTAGATACAACAGTTAACTAAAAAAAAAAATAAGTAGACAGTCGTACAATAAATACACCACAATTATAAACACTTCCCTCTATTACCATTGCAAGCACCATACCAGCCACCAACAATAACTATCATCACTAATACACAACTCCTAAAAGAAACGCTATTATTAACACCACAAACAAGTCAATCACAACACCACACAAGACCCGAAAATAATGCAGAATATATTTTTTCAACATGAGCAACTCATTTCAGCGTTGCAGCGCAGGTGTTTTTCTTCATATTGCCCGGAGGATCCTTTATTGCATACCCGAAGCACAACAGCTGTGTCTTTCCCAAGGCAAGATTTGCAACTAAAGAGAAGCAGCGAGGACGTTGTATTGATAGCAGTGAGTGAGATTTTTTGAAAGATTATTAATAGGTAAAGAAAGAGAGAAAGAAAGAAAAAAATAGGTGATTGGGGATGTTATCAATATTTTTTAATGAGGTTTTTCTCATAAGTAAGAAAGAGAGAAAAGATGGGGGATGGTATTGTTTTATATGCTTATATTATAAATAAAAAAGTAAAGGAAATGAATGGGGATATTAATAAATATAGATAAAGGAATTAGTAGAGATGTTAATAACTTTTTTTTTTCATTTTCTTTTAAGATAAACTTGTACTATAAATAAAAAAAGAAAGAAATGGAAAAAAGTAAGTGATTGACGATATTAATATCTTGATGATCCTTATTATAAATAAAAAATAAAAAATGGAAAGGAATCGATGGTTATGTTGATATTTTTTTCTCAAATGTGCTTGTACTATAATTAAGAAAGAAAGAAAGGAAGAAAAATTATGGGGTAATATTCTTAAAGATTGTTTATGTATATTACCTTGATGTTTGTTTTTATCTATATAGCAGTAATATCACCATCCATATTTATTGTAAGAGTATTTGTAATGTTTATATGAAGAGGTGAAAAAATGATGTAAATAGCAAAATATAATGGATGGATGAGGACATATATATGTGTGTGTGTGTGTGTGTGTGTGTGTGTGTGTGTGTGTGTGTGTGTGTGTGTGTGTGTGTGTGTGTGTGTGTGTGTGTGTGTGTGTGTGTGTGTGCGCGCGCGTGTATGTGTGTGTGTGTATGTGTGTACGTATTTCTCTATTTATTTATTTTGCTCGCGTGTATGTATATATATACACGTTTATTTATACGTTTATATCTGCGTTAACCACAGGAGTTCCTATGCAACCAAAGTCCCCGATAACCAATCCCCAACCTCACCTGTCCAACTCGATCTCAAAGTCCACATAAGCGACTCGCGACACCCACCTGCACAATGTCCCCCACCAATGAAGCGATGAACATGTTGTCCAACTTAACGTCCTCATTCTCCAGAAGATCCTGAAGGAGACGCAGAACCGGGTGTTAGAGACGTGAAAAACAGAGATGAATAAATGAAGGAAGGGATGAAATAATGAATGTAAATGAGATGTTAGATATAGTTTTAGTTAAGTACATTAGACGTAAAGTATGGATAAGAAAATATTTGAAGGGATGAAGGAAATTATTGTTAATTAGTAAATGAATGAATGAATGGATGAATAAATGAAGGAAGGAAGGAATGTGAATGAAAGACGTAAAGCAGGGATGAATAAATGAAGGAAG